GCCTTTCAAATTCAACATTTCTTCACATTTAACTGTTAATTAATAATTTTTATTGAAGCCAATGAGCTTGACACTATTGCTTTCAGTAGTATCAAGACTTCACTCTCCTTTTTCTTATTTTGTAAAATAATTTGTGATCTTGAAGGTTCCACACTTAAGGGACCAGGGGAAGGTACTTCAAACACTCAGCAGTGCTGTAATAGGACCAGGCAACTTCACAGTATTTACTGAGAAATATTAGTTAAAATATGAAGGAAACTTGCAGGTGTCTTAATCTGGTGTTTTTTCAAGTGTTCTGTGTTCAAAGCAGCTGAAACCAAACAAAACAACCTTTTTCTTTGGTATGTTTTTCCAAAGTAAACAATTAAAAGAATGGCCTCAATGCTTATGTGTTAACATCTGCTTATCTTAGACGTAATAATCAACAACAAAACTCTAAGATGAAAAGCCAGATGGAAAGACGTGTAGAGTAAGAATAACTGCCTGCAAAATATATACAGTAAGTATTCCTTTCTGTGATATTCACCTTTGTCATTAAAACTTTTCTGAAACAGAATTACCTGGTTAGCAACTATACCAAGAATGTTTATATAGCAAAGTACATCTCTGGAATAGATATCTCAAAAGCACAGAAACATCAAATCCTATTAAAAATGTAAAATCAGTTACTATTTTGCAGTAATTAGAGGCAGTATTTCATTTAAAATAATGAGTCAGTTAAGTTATCAAGGTTTTTTTTGCTATGCTTTTGCCTTAGAATAGATTATTTCTAGCTTCAAGTTTTTCTAATTTCAAGTTTTCACCTTTTAATGAACATAACTGGAATTAAACACACGTCCCTGATTTCTGTGCCATTCTTTCAGATACTCAGATGTCTATGTTTAATTGCTTTTATCTGCTATTTCTTGGAATTGTAATTGTATTCAGAAGAGCTCCCAAACTGAATTGCACAAGACATGAGAAATAATGACTCTCCGAGTCAGAACAGCAGTACTCCAATTCACACAAATGCAGCTCATCTAATACTAATTTAAAATTATGTTTGAGATAATGTGTTGGTTTCAGACTGATTTTACCAGCAATAGAAGTGAGTCTGTTAACACACGCAATTTGTTCTTTTTTTGGGTTAAAGGTCAGTAATTTCAGTTATGTGACTGCACTGTTAAAGTAGTAGGGGAACTTGTGTTCAACATTTTAATCTGGAAAGAATTTTAAAACCCGGAAAAGCAGAAGAACAACAGAAAGCACAACTGCTCTTACCCAAGACTCTCGGGGTCAAAAACCCGGTTGAGATCACAGTCAATGTACCTGGTGCACCTCTCCACAGCCCTGGGGTTGCTGAGGAATGGTTTCACCTCCACTCCTGCTCTCTGGATCTCGGCTCCGTCCTGCTGCCAGTGCCTGACCAGCAGCACCCCCGATAATTCATTGCCGTGGGTGCCCCCGAAGAGCCCCACCCGTCTCACCCGAGCACACGGGGAACTCATGCTCTAGGAAAGCTTTTCTCTCTGAGAGGGGGAAAAAAAAAAAAATAAATTCTTTCCAGTAGGAGAGTCTTTCTTCTGGTTAGGTCAGATGCAAAAGAAAGTGAATGGATTTCTCCCAACAGTTCTCAACTCGGTTTTGAGGCGGGATTTTTCCAACCTCCCTCCCCAAGGAGCCTCCCCTTCAGTTTCTGTATTTAGTAACATCTCCGAGGCTGTTAATGGCACTGTTCCACAGTCCAAAAGTTAACTCTGGGCCGTCTTTATAATACATGATCTATAGGGAAATCCTGTGCTAATTAACAATGGAAAACAGTGTTTTTACACTCAAATATCAGGCATTTTTGCACTGCAGACTAGGTGTAACAGGTATTCTCATGTATGTTTAAAGTTACATAACTATTATATAAGGGCAGAGTGATTTAAAGTGAGCAAAATAACAATCATGTCTTGGCTCTAGTCCAGCACACAATGCTGAAACATCAAGTATTTTCATCTTTAAAAAGCCAAGAACAGCTAAGATCCTCAAAGCACACCCTGGCTTGTATGACCTTTTTTGTTTTAGAAATCCTAAGAACAGTGATTAGAAGGAACACAAGCTGAAATTACAGTGCGATTTATCCACGACTGACTTACCCAGAGTTCTGGCTCCGGTTCTATCTCTGGATCTGCTAACACAGACCTCTAACACATTGAAACAACTTTGCCAGGGACAACCCTCTAACTTCTGCAGTCTCTTATTAAAAAGGAAACAGATCTAGACCACGATGGGACAATAGTTCTGTTCTCTCCCCTGAAAAAACTTTAGTCAGCAACTTTTCTTCCATTTCTAAAAGTGTTCAGAAAGGCTTCTGAACCTTAAGCCAAAGAGCAGCTGTAATTTGCATCCTGAGAATCAAAACGTTTAGAATAAAAGGTCATATTAACAGAAAAATAAACTTTATTGAGGCAAACGACAGAAGTATTTGTAATTGGTATGTGACTCATAATATAAACATAACAGATTGCAAGAGAATAAAGAATGTTTATTGAACAATTCATTTTTGTTAAGATTATACTCCAGCGACTGAGAGAATATTTGGCCAGTTCCTGAAAGGCTTTATATCCCAGGCTGACCGACTGTAGGTCTAGGAAAAGCTAAGGATAGGATTTATCTAGAATAGTTCTGCCAGGAATATAATTTCTACAGAAGTTGCTCTCTTTGTTTTAGTTCATGTATTCAGATTTTGCTGAACCTTACAGAAAGTTAATACAGAGAGACTGTTTACTTAGCTCCTAAGTACAGAGTAATACAGTTGAGTATTTGTCAGATATTTAATCAGAATGAGTAATTTATTAAACAAAGCAGTAAAGTTGCATTTTACAGCACTGGACAGTCTGTGCCGTCCTTTGACCCTGTCTGTCTCCAGCGGTGAGTGACACAACACCCAAAAACACAACTCACACTCTGAATCTGGGTTTGCTGAATTTAAACACAGCAGAAGTTTGAAGAGTTAACAGCAAAATGCAAACATGCAGGGCTGGAACATATAGTTTATCTTTTATTGCTGCTGGCACTGTGATGGTTGTAATTCCTTCCAAAGCGCTGAATGAAACACAGAGATGTCTGTGCACTTACTTAACATGCAAGAAGTTTGTCTCCTAAGAAGAATGTTTTCAGGACAGAGACAGTGAATTTCCAAACACGAGTTTAGGAACTAAACCCATGGAAGCTTCTTTTATTCCCCTTAGAGCAGTTCCCGTCCAAACACTTTAACTCCTGGTGTCCCAGGACCCGTCAATTTGGGAATGAATGGAAATTCGCATGGAAAGTTGTCACTCTTCAGGGTTAAGCACTGGGAACCATCCCTTATTCCTGTGCTTTGCCAATACTCACACTCTGAAAAAGGATGTGGGATATTTTGTTTAGTAACAATCCGGATTGGTTTGATGTGCTGCATACAGATATTTGGGAGTGTTTCTGAAGGAAAAGTTTTATTAAAACAGGACAAGATCAAACCGTGCCAAGCACTCAGATTTTAAACAGGAACCAGCCATTTGCAAAAGCCAGAACAGCCAAAGAGAGCAACAAGGTGAAAAATGCCCTTAGTTTTCTCTACATCCACGTTTTCATCCACACACTTCAGGAGATTCAGCTCCGGCCCCGGGTTCTCTGAGGGTGACACTACACCGGTTCCTCGGGTGCGGGGATAATTAATGAAATCCCACCGAGAGGGTAATTAAAGGGTTCTTGTGTCTCCCAGCCAGGCCCAGAGCTCCCGCCGTGCCCTCAGCGTGAGGGAAGGGGCACCTCATCGCCTTCACGCCATTTTCACACCGGCTGAGGCGGGAGCGCGCGGGCCGGTGTCTGTTGTTTTTGGCGGCCTTTGCCTCAGGGCTGTCCCTCAGCCCTGTCCCTTAGGGCACCGCCTCAGGGCTCACCCTCAGGGCTCACCCTCAGGGCTGTCCCTCGGGCCTGACTCTCAGGGCTGACCCTCAACACCGTCCCTCAGGGCTTCGCCTCAGGGCTGACCCTCAGCGCCATCCTTCGGTCTCGTCCCTCAGGGCTGACCCCTCAGCACCGTCCCTTAGCCCCGTCCCTCAGGGCTGACCGTCAGCGCCATCCTTCAGCCCTATCCCTCAGCATCGTCCCTCGGGGCTGACCATCAGCCTCGTCCCTCAGGGCTTCGCCTCAGCGCTGGACCCTCAGCGCCATCCTTCGGCGTCGTCCTTCAGGACTGACCCTCAGCGCCATCCTTCATCCTCGTCCCTTAGCCCCGTCCCTGAGGGCTCACCCTGAGGGCTGACCCTCAGCGCCATCCCCCAGCCCCGTCCCTCAGGGCTTCGCCTCAGGGCTGACCGACCCTCAGGGCTGATCCTCACCCCCATCCTTCAGGGCTTTGCCTCAGGACTGACCCTCAGTGCCATCCCTCAGCCCCGTCCCTCACGGTTTCTCCTCAGGGCTGACCCTCAGCGCCATTCTTCGGCGTCGTCCCTCAGGACTGACCTTCAGCGCCATCATTCATCATCGTCCCTTAGCCCCGTCCCTAAGGGCTCACCCTGAGGGCTGACCCTCAGCGCCATCCCCCAGCCCCGTCCCTCAGGGCTGATCCTCAGCCCCGTCCTTCAGGGCTTTGCCTCAGGACTGACCCTCAGTGCCATCCCTCAGCCCCGTCCCTCACGGTTTCTCCTCAGGGCTGACCCTCAGCGCCATCCCTCAGCCCGGTAAGCGCTGCCCCTCAACATGGCCCTGACCCTCAGCCGCTCCCTCAGGGCCTGGAAGCTGCAAAGAGCAGTTGCATCTTAGGCGTGCACCTGTGGATCTTCTAAATTCAGTACAGCTGCTTCTGTGTTTTAGGGCTTGTGTTTGAAATGATGCCAGTCACTGGAGCTGCAGTGTTAAGAGAAACTGCCATAAAATCGCGTGAAATTTGAATGTGTTTGCGGCATTAATTAATTTGCTTTGTTTATCTGACTTCCAAACAGGAAATTTTGGAGTAATCAATCCACTGCTGCCTGTTAAGATTCAGCAAAGAAATGAAAAGGAGTTTAGCTGACACCTCAGCTCGCAGTACAGCAGGTAGCAGCCCTTCTTATGTGACTTTCTGTTCACACCTCATTATGCTTTTAAACACACATAAGATACATATAGTACATTTATATATGTAGTGTTCATACAGGATATTCAGTGTTTAGCCTTAAATCCCCATTTCCTGAGTGGATTTGCGTGGGTTACCTGATTATTGCAGCACAGGGTGAGATTTTAGATGGATTCAGGGGACTTGTCACTCAGGGAAAGGTTTCATTAATGGGATTATGTGCAGGACAGAGGGTTGGGAATATAAATTCTGTGAGGGAATGGCCTTTATGTGTTTATGAAACGTAATTCTTATGTGTAATGGAAAATAATTAAGTAGTTTTATTTACGTATTTTAAGTGTGGATTGTGTATCCTTTTGCTATTAATATAGCATTACTTAAATTTTAATTTTAGGTTGTCTGCCTGTACCACTGTTCAATCAGAAAAAGAGAACTAGACAGCCCGTCACTTCAAATCCACTTAAAAATGAACCAGGTACTGGTTCTGGGACTCGTAGTTATGACTTCTCTACCTCATCATTTGGTAAATAACACATATTTTATTTTTTTACAGCCTCTAAATCCAAATAAAACTTAACTTCCTGATTGTATTCTATGAAATCAGACATTGTCTTTATCAAGAACTATAGGCATCCTTTATATCTATTTCTGAAAAGTTCATTATGTACAAATTGTCCTCCAGGAAATTTCTTTCTCCTCCATACAATTGAGCTTTTTATACTTCTTGCCTAGAGGGAGTTTGACTCTTTGTGTGATGGAGAATGAAGTAGCACTGGCATTTAAATAGAGTCTCTTGAAACTGACCTTTTGTTTTCAGTTGATTTCAATCAACATTCAAGTCCTGTGTTACAAGAAGAAACATTCGTAGGATGTCTTTCTTGTACTTCAGAAAGGAACTTCTGTTCTTCAAATTGGTCTTGGAAAGAACAGTGCAGAATTCTGCTTTTAGTGCTTTCATTATGTTTTACTTGTAATAAAGTTTAAAAGTTTTCTTATAATAAAGTCTCTGTTGCTAATAAGTCTAATGTTTGTAACTGAACCATTGTCTAGAGAAGTAACCTACTTGTTAGAAGTTGTCTTATAATTATAAATATCAAAGGATCACATTCCTCTTTTTCCTTTTTTCTTCCTCCTTCCCGTGTGAGCCTGTTTGTGGGACGTTAAGCAGAGTTGGAGGCCTATGAAGACTTATTACCTTTCAGTCTTTTCCATTTTTCTTCCATTTTTGTCCATATTCAATCCTTTGTCTTTTGAAAATTAGGCTGGGGAACTGCAAACCCAGAAGTGGATGAACTACAGAAAGCAGCAAACAGTGGGTATGTAAAAAGCAAGTTATTTGTTGTTTTTTTGATTTTTATTTGGATGTTAATTGTTTCATGAACAATCCATGTGTCTGACAATAAAGCTGCTGCTGTGTCACTGATACTGTAAACTTGTCTTTGAAAGCCAAGCAGAACATCCGATGGCTCCTTCCCTTATGAAACCACCAAATGCATCAAAGTTTAATTTAGCAAATGCTGGGAAAAACTTGTCTGCCTGCAGGTTGGTGAAGCCTTTAATGTCTATTATCCTTCCTTTTTGTTCTTATGTGAAAATGCAACTCACATTTTCCCATATGCCTGTAGCATTCAAAGAAACTCTTTTAATATCACTCTCAGAGGAAACCTTGTTTATTTTATTTCAGAGTTATGAAAATATGTGAATTTTGGATCAGGAAAGATCCCTTACACAGGGCAGGACAATAACTGAGCAGGGTTTTAAGGTCTGTTGAAGTCAGATGGATTTTATGCAGAGGTGTAATCACTGCCCTGTATATCCATAATTTCGGGGTAAACTCAAGTGAGTTTTGAGGTATTTAAAGCTAAAACAATTTATGGAGTGCTTTTATATACTTTAGTCACATATCTGAGTATTCAGAAGAGGTACTGTGATACTGAACTGTTGTATTGCAGGAACAGAAATGAATATACTCCTTTAGGTAACACAGCAAATTCAAGATCTGATAATGGAACTTCTCGAAAGTTTGAGAACTTTTCAAGCAGTTTGAAAACTGTCCAGCAGCAAAAGCACCCTGACAGTTGTAACCCATCCCAGCTCATCAAAACAGACACATCCAAAGGACAGTGGCCACTGAAACCCAACACTGTGGCAAGAAGTCTGCAGGATCGTAGTCCAGCATATAAATTTAACTACAATACTCAGCGAAATAAAATGAGTGAAAACCAATTTGGTTGTGTCTCAGAAGACAAAAGTCAGGTAAAACTTATGGGCAGGGTTAATAAAAAAGAGAGAATGAAGAAAGCAGTTAAGAAAGAAAACTGATGGAAGATGAAGTTTTCATCAGCCCAACCTGCCTTAGTAAAACCTGGAATTTCTGGAAATTTGGAATTGAGAATTTCATACTGTAATAACCTAAAATCCTCAGTAAACTGGCAGGGAGTTGTTTGTATATTCTGAACAAATGCTCTAATTTAAATTTGATTATTGACTATTTAACATAATAAATAAATGCCTATGTGCCCTTTAAAATTGCAAGTGTGTATGTCTAACTTAAGCTTTTGTCTTCACTTGAAAGGAAATTTCATCATCTCAAGTAAAAACTAAAATAAAAAAGAATTCTTTGCGAATCCTGTCTGCAGTCATTCAAAGTGTGAGGCACTGGAGCCAGTATGCCTATAAAACTGCACTGCTATTTGAAGTTTTAGGTAAGCATAGTAGTTTATAATAATATAATCTGATAATAATGCTAGGGCAACAACAAGAGAGAATTTTTCAATAGCTGAAATACTTAAATCCACATTATACTGGCACGAACACCATCTAATTTCCTTTCCATTCAGCTATCAAAGGTGACTGAAACAAGTACAAAATTAACAATTCAGTCATCCTCCAAGATCAAGTTTTTCCATCCTTTCTTTTCTTTGTTTTTAGAATGTGTTAGAATAAATTTTCCTGTTTTGTAGGAATCTTCTGTAGAGTGATACAATTTTACAATAATTTTTAATATAATTAATCTTAGAATGATTAATTTTTGCTTAATGGGACAGGCACACTGGATTCTGCAGTCACACCTGGAGCAAAAGGGGCAAAGAACTTTCTTCTGAGAGATGGAAAGGAGACCCTGCCTTGCGTGTTTTATGAAATTGTGAGTATTCTGTGTCCACACATAACAGTCACCACTAGCTCCAATCCTTTTTATGATTGCAAAATCATAAATTTACTGTGCAAAAGGCAGGCTGAATGTTTTTATTATATTGTTCCAAATTTAGAGCAACAGTCACTACTTAGGGTATTTCAGACCTGTTTCAGAGGAACAGGTGAGACTTTGAGTTTAGCTTTTAAGTAGTTGGTAACAGCAATAAAACTGATGTAAAGGTCTTCTGTTGGAATGTAGCCCTCAGAAAGCAGCCATGTGGAAAGCTTTTATGTGAGGTGATATAATTGTTTTATGTGTTTATTATGCTTTAATGAAGGACCGTGAGCTTCCACGACTCATTAGAGGTCGAGTGCACAGGTGCATGGGAACTTATGATGCAAAAAGGAACATTTTCAAGTGCGTCTCTGTAAGACCAGCAACTGCTCAAGAACAGAACACTTTCCAAGACTTTGTTAAAATTGCAGATGTTGAGATGGCAGCATATGCAAAAACTATAAATGAAATGTAAAAGTTAAAATGGTTGTGCAAACCCCTGATTTAACTAGTTGTTGCCCATAAAGCCTGGATATGCTACAGCATTTACCAAAACTACCAGTGAAAATGGGGTTAAACATTTGAAAATATCACTGTGCTGTGTTATCCAACAAATGCTGTGTGGTGTTCATTGGGTTCCCATGTATGTGTTACCTCATGAATGTTTATTTAAAAAATAAATAATCAGTATAATACCTGTATAAAATAACAACAGATCTTGAAGCTGTAGGAAGATTCCCAAGAATACAGAGGAAGTAGAAAAGAAAGAATGATTTGAACACAGAACTTCCTTGCCTTTGCCATAGAAACATCTTTCATGAGGGAAGGATCATGTACATGTTTATGTACCTTTGCCTTCAAACATTAACTTTCATAGATTATTCCTGCTGTTCTTATTTCCTTTTCTCTACTTCAGAAGCTTTGTATCAGATCTATTGGGAATTGCAAAACAAAAGAGTTGTCAAGAAAATAGCAAACAGTATGGGGATTTTTTTTTATTATTTTATTATACAGTGTTGGCAATTGGAAATTTCACATTTAAAATAATTGAAATATTGTATCCAACAAGTCAAATACAGAAAACAGTTAATATTCTAAAAAGGAGCCAGCTAGTCAACGCAGAAACACATTAATGGAAAATACAGCTTTTAGTTACACTTAAAAAATTATATATTTAGAATAAAACTTGAACCTGTCCAGCAAATTGTAACAGGAAAACGCTTGTACACAGTTTAACGCGCAGACAGTCTTTGTGTAAAAAAGTGATCTGTCAGTGTGAGCACGGGCACTGCCAGCAACAGGTGAGATCTGCAGGATGTGCTTTGCCAACTGCTGCAAGGATCCCTGGAATTATCATCACACCTTCGGTGTGAAGCAGGCTCAGAGCATGGATGCTTCAAGGAGGGTTTTGCCAATCCAGTTGTAGAGGTCATCTACACGTGTTTGAGTCATTTAAATATTATAAAAATATTATAAAATGTTAAAGGAAGCTCCAACTGGAAGCATTAGATTGACTCATAAAAGGTGCAGAATATTGCAGGATGCAGAGGTTGATGACTTGCACAACAGAAGTTGAGCTTTAAGAAGTAAAATATTTGGTACAGCAGGGTTGTGAATTGTGAGACTGCTGTAATTTAAAACTGATTCCAGTTAGTGATTGATGCTTCCAGTTCTGCACATATGAAACTTCTGTTAATAAGTAATGACAGGAATAGGTCCTTTGTCTACTAGGTGTGTTATGGCTGTTAATAAAAATCTAAAATAATTTTACTTTTCAGGAAGTGTTTGGATCTTTGCAAGAGGAGTTTCTACTTGACACTAACAAATCACTTTTTCTAGTGAAACATTTAGTGAACAGTCGTAAACATTACACAAAACAGAAAAAACCCTACTCAATACAGTTTATACACACTACTCAACATTTTTCAGTTGTTGGGTGATTTTTTTTTTCTTGACCATATTGATCCTGTCTTGTTTAATGGTTCTAGTGTAAAGGCACAGGTTGGTTAGGAAAGAAAAGCCTGCATCTCTGTCTCTCTACTTTGTGGTGATTATTTTGTTTTTGCATGTTGTTTGTTATTCCTCACTTTTCTGACTCTTACATGAAAATTATCAATCTCAGCCATTTCATTTAAAAAAGTGTAAGACATCACTGAAAACACATTAATATACAGAAGTGTCTGAAATTTATTCTTCTTACTTTAGGGCATTCCTTCAACCTATTTTGTTAAATATTTGGAAGATTTAATTTCTCAGTCCCTATGAGCAAAAGTGCAGAGCACTCATGCTCTCTTTCTCAGTGTACTTAATTCTGCATTGGAATCTGTATTTTCAAAGTTTGCTAAGTTTATGTGCAGAATTTGCTTTTAGCAAATTATTGTATGGAAATGTAACAACAGGACAATTCTTTTGGAAAACAATGCAATGTTCCACTGAAGTTTAGAGGGGTGAGGAATGTAAACAAGACTGCAGAAGTCTTTGATGTAAATTAAAATAACACAGTGATTGTTCTGTTTGCATTTTCTTATACATCCTCAACATGTCTCTGTCTGTCCCTTCATGTACACCTTCCATTAAAAAAAAAATAAAATTTCAGGAATCAGTTGGACTCAGCTAAGTGAAGAATAATAAATTTGATCACCTGGTTTGTGCCAAAATACAAAACTAAAAAGTACAGCTCTGAATTAAATATAATCTATGTGATTTTTCTTTTTAATAAATAATAGAAAATAAAAGATGAGAATAGAATTAGAATTAAATGTTTATTTTAAATGAAAAAAACACAACAGTGGTGTGAGATTAGAACCCAATGTTTCTTTTGCTTAAGGCAATCAAGTGCACTTATTTCAATGCTTGATAATAATGAATTCAGTGCTATTGTGTAAATCACACCTCACAAAATTTCCATACAGACTAATGAAATATGGCCATTTGTAATTCTGACACAGCATCAGATTTTTGCTAGTCATGTTCAATAGCATTTCACTTCACTTTTTTTGTTTTACAATCTGGACTCTGAATTGCAATGGAAATACTGGAATTAGTTCATTCTGGCTTGTACTATCACTGCAGGTAAGGGCCATTGGGCACAGACATTTTTGTAAACAGAGATTTTTTCTTTTCAGCCTTAAACAACAAAACCCCAAAATCTACAGCTGTCATAGTTCAAAACGTTTTGTTAAAGTCCACCTAGAAATATAATTTAAGAAATACTGAAAACAAATTCTTAAGATTTTTTTTCCTGTTGTTAAAGGATTAAAACATCATGAAGCCTTTGGAAGTAGTTGGAGCTCTCAGAAAAAAAGAAATTTCAGTTTTACCCAAGACTTCATGAAGATGTCTCTGTATCTTGGCAATTAGAGCAGAAGTAAAAACTGTGCCCAGAACTTACAATATGCAGGTGCTCCTAATATATATAGATTTAAAAGAAACTTTTTTCTTGTATACAATTTTTTTTAGCTATCAATCTTAATTTTAGGCTGTGGCTACTAGTAGGTGCTTTTTCTCACTAATCAAAATAATTGTAACAAAATATTATTATTGATTTTAAAGTTACTGGGTTCATAAAAGTCCTGACATTTCACAATATATCAAAAGTGAATTGAAGCTTTTAAGACTCACAATTTTGAGACACAAAAGAAACTGGGAGGTAGACAGATGTTTTGAGGATAAACTGATTTTTTATTTTTTTATTTATTTATTTTTTTTGTCTAAGGCATGATGCCATTATCTGTTTGGAGCAGTGTAAAGGCTGCTGATTAATCCTATTTCGATTCCAGAGCGTTCGCTGCTCGCGCTTACGGAAGACTTTCAATGCACTTTTGGTCTTTGTCAATCTGACCTTCTCTTCCCCATCTCCTCTCCTCTCTTTTGCAACACAGCCAACTTGGAAGTGCTTTAATAATTTCTGCCCATTACTGTAGACAGGAATGTTCTGTTCTTAAAGAGTAATAAAATACTATAAAATAGTAGGTATTGGAGTTGGAGATATGTGCTCTTTTGGTGCATATTTTGCAAAGAATGGTAAAAAGACAGACAACATGACCCCAACAATTGCCAGCATGTACCCCCATCCAATCTGGCAGTCTCCTGCATAGTAGATGTCTGAGTTCTCACAGAATCTCTTCACAGTAGCAGAGTTGAAACCAAAAGGGTAAACCAAAAGCCCAGAAGCCATTATGAACACTAGAGAGGAGAAAAAAAAAAAAATCACCAGTTATTATCAAACATCAATTCCTTTGGAAAAAAAGAATCCTTACTTTAGAAAGGCAAATATATATATTATATTAAAATCAATGGAAAAAGTCATAGCTTAGAAAACCCCCTTGTGATTGGCAGATTATCCTCCTTTTCATAATTACCTCTTGTGGACAGCAGTGATGGGACAAGGCAGCAAGTTGGGATTTTTTTCATGAGAACTCTTGCCATTAAATAACTTCAGAAACGCTGTGATCCAAATTATGTAGCCATGTAAAAAGTAAGGTGGTTCAGATACCATGGAATCCAGAGGAGAAGATTTCCTAAGTTGGCAGATTCCAAACCAGCTTCACTTTCTTCTCAACAGCATTTTTGTGCTTGAGACAAACAATTACTTTGTTCTGCCAAGTAGAAACTTTCATTGAAATAGTGCAAATATAGATTTTCAGATTCTGCTGATGAGGTTCTGATAATGTGAGACTCATTAGTACTGACTCAAATTGTTTAAAACATCCTGCATTTGAACAACTGATGAAAAACAACATCATTTATCTTCTTTTTATTTATTTATGTCTCTTGACATTGGAAAGCCAGGCTTGCCTCCTGCAATTACCCTCCATTATCCATTGGCTTTTAATAGAACTTCACATATTTTAATATTTAAGGAATCCTTGACATATTCAAATATCAACTCATGCAGGTAAATGGATCAACAGCAGAACCATTTTTCCAACTTTGAAAGTAGGACTGCCCAAGGTGTAACTCGTGAGTAAGATAAAGATGCACAAAAATCCTGCAGGAACAACTCTTGGAACCTGATTCTGCCCACCTTGGAAGTGAAGAGGGGCTGAGCCAGGCTGGTGTGAGGGGTTACAGCACCTTTTGTTTGAGAGAGCACTGAGAAACCAAGACTTCCATTCTATCCCTTCTGCTAATCAATTACCACTGCATTTAAAATCTCTATTTGTAAAGGCTTTATTTCATCTACTAAAAAGATACCATGGAGCAGTCCCTTTTCCTCTCTTCCCATTTTTCCAGTACAGTGTTTTGTTCAAATTCAGGGTAGTGATTCAAGAAGCAAGCAGTATGTTTGAGCTGATAGATAATTCATAACCAGCAAACATCTAATGAAACATTAGGAGTATAAAACAAACACTGTGTGCTATTCTCTGTGTTTGTGATTGCCTTTCAGGTAGGGCATGTGCATATTGCTCCAATTATAATATTGGAGAGGCTTAATCTTAAAAGTATCCACTAAAAAAGGGCAATCACTCATTA